CAGCGGATCCTAAATTTCAGAAGAAAAAGAAACTTGACCATTGTTTTGCTTAAAATTTCTTTTTTGGTTTCCGAAAAGACCGAGATTGTTTGAGACAGTTCAAAACGCGGAACAACCTTCGTCGAACTATAAGCTTTCGAGTCAAGGAGTTTGATTTCTTCTTACTAGATGAGACAGAAGAAAATTATAAATTCGAAAAAAACTTCACAAAAGAATTGAAATATTCCTTTAGATGTTGTTTTCATAAATTTTCTATCAGTAATTGTGTGGAGAAGTATAGGCAAAGCCATACCTGCAAAACCTTTTCGAGCCTCTCTTTCGGTGATAAACCATTGGCCGGGCGGATCAGCAAGAATATCTGCCCAACATTTGGCAAAGCCCATAGGATTTTTTCAACAAGCACCTGAAAAAAAAACTTTCGATGAGGTTTAAAATGGTCTTCTTATCGTCCTCTTATTGGATGTCTATCAGTAAATAGTGTCGTTTAGTTCAAACAAATACTTTTAAGATGGCTAAAGGGTACAATTCAAGCATCTAAGGTCTGGAGCTTCAGATTGCTCTGTTGGCCTTACCTTTCCCAAAAATCCCGTCGATCCCGTCAGCAGGATAGACCGATCACAGTACACGTCCTCTACCCGCCAGGACATGGTTACCCTGAATTGAAAAGGTGGATATGTTGTTTCATTACAGAGTTTATAAATAAGCGATCAAAGCGATTAATTAGCGACAGTAATACTTGTTAATGATCTAATAAGTCACAAAATCACCGAGGTTATAGCCGCTCACATTGGATCCCCCTGGAACTGGTATTATCAGCTTTTGATACTCTCTGGATCCTTGCTCAGGTCAAAAGTACTGCGTGATGTTTATTTATTTTGTAATATTTATTTATTGATGTTTAGTTATTTATTTATTTTTCGTGTTGAACTGTTCCTATCCTTCGCAACGTGGACTACAAATTAATTTTGAGCAAATTTTTGGCAGTACAAATGAAGCTGATAAAATTTCGTAAAAAATTCGCCGAAGAAAAAAATTCATGAAATCTGCAGTCTACTGGAAGAAGAGCAGAGTACATTAATTTGCATTTTTTGACAAAAAATCCCTATCTGCCCCAGTATTTCGAATTGTTGCATAAACTCCAAGCGCTGCTTATCGATCTCAACGTAAAGTTTTTACAGTTGCTGTGATGAGAGTTGAAAAAACGCCTGTGCGATTCAACTTT